ACATGAAAAAATGTTCATCATCATTAGCCCTCAGGGATATTCAAATTAAAACCACATTGAGATACCACCTTACACCAGTTAGAATGGCCAAAATTAACAAGACCATTAACAGCAAGTGTTGGAGAGATTGTGGAGAAAGGGGAACCCTCTTACACTTTTGTTGGTGGGAATGCAAGTTGGTGCAGCCACTATGGAAAACAGTGTGGAGATTCCTTAAGAAATGAAAAATAGAGCTACCCTATAACCTGCAATTGCACTACTGGGTATTTACCCCAAAGATACAGATGTAGTGAAAAGAAGGGCCATCTGTACCCCAGTGTTCATAGCAGCAATGGCTACAGTTGCCAAACTGTGGAAAGAGCCAAGATGCCCTTATTTATTTATTTTTAAAAGACTTTTAAAAAAATTTTTTTTAAGATTTTATTTAACAGAGACAAGTGAGAGAAGGAACACAAGCAGGGGCAGTGGGAGAAGGAGAAGCAGACTCCCTGCTGAACAGGGAGTCTGATGTGGGGCTCAATCCCAGGACCCTGGGATCATGACCTGAGCCAAAGGCGGACGCTTAACCAACTGAGCCACCCAGGTGCCCCAGCATAGGATTTATTTATTTAAAAATTGGATTTGAGGGCACCTGGGTGGCTCAGTCGGTTAAGCATCTGACTTTTGGTTTCAGCTCAGGTCACAATCTCAGGTCCTGAGATCAAGCCCTGCATCAGGCTCTGCACTCAGTGCAGTGTCTACCTGTCCCTCTCCCTCTACTCTTCCCCCCACCACTCCTGCTTGCTTGGGTGTGCACACAAGCGTACTCTTCTTTCTCTGCCTTAAATGCATAAATAAAATCTTTTTTTAAAAATTGGATTTTAATCACAGATTTCACTTAGCAAATTTTAAAAGCTTTCAAATGCAATTGAGCTTCATCTTTATTACTCTATTATACGACCATCCAGATTTTCAGAACAGATACATTAGAAGAAGGCCAAATGTTTTACTTTAAGAGAAGGCCAACAAGAAGTCAGTGGAGCATCCAAGGTCTAGTCCAATGTCCTGTGGCCTACAGGATACCTGTTATGGAGTACCCTTCCTGGGGGGAGACCTAAACATTTTCCCCAGGAGTCCAGAGCCTGACCCTGTCAGCCCAGGTTTTATCCTCACATTTCTCTGAACAGCTACTTCCTTAGCCTATTGCAAATAAGAATTGCATTTCAAAAGTTCTGTTTTTGGAACTTTGGGCCAAATACCCATTGCATAAAATGAAGCACAATGGCATATCTTCTATCTTATTAGATTCATCTCTTAAAATTTGATTAAGGAAATCCTATCCTTTGAAGATAGGGAGCAATGAGAGAACCCCTCCTGTTCTCCTGTGGTTTTAGTTTCAGATTATTAATTCTACCCCTATTTTTATCCTAATTTGTAACTGAGAGTTTCTAGAAATTTTTTTAAAGATTTAATTTATTTATTTATTTGACAGATCACAAGTAGGCAGAGAGGCAGGCAGAGAGAAAGGAGGAAGCAGGCTCCCTGCTGAGCAGAGAGCCCAATGTGGGGCTCAATCCCAGGACCCTGGGATCATGACCTGAGCCGAAGGCAGAGGCTTTAACCCACTGAGCCACCCAGGCACCCCTAGAAATGGAAATTTTAAGATTGTCTACCCTCAGTGTAAAAAGACCTTGAGAAAAGATGTCTTTATCAATGTCACCATTCCACAAACATCCTGTTCCAGGGAATTGGCCTGCAGTGTCCAGTAACCTGCCCAAACCTGTGTCACTTGTTGATTTCTGTTAGGTTTCACTAAAGCTATAAGTAATATAGTGTCATTCTCCAAGTGATTCCCATTCATAAAGGAAAAATACTTGCTTTCTATTTTTCTGTGTCAGAAAGTACTTTTCTCATACATAAACATTATTTAATGTGTAAAACATTTAGAATATTTTTAAACTCTTCCAAGTAACATAGCATTTTTAGAGGAGATTTTTCTCAACTGTAGTTTGGATTCAAGCATCTTGTGTGCCTTTCCAAATAAAGTTAATTTTTTCTCATGGAAACCATACATTTTTTTTTTAAATACACAGATCATCATTGCTAGAAAGACCTTGAAGAACAAGTTGGTATTGTGAGTGCTAGGAGATACAGAAGGAGCGGGAATTTGAAATATTTTGAAAGCATCAACTTTTTTCTAATTGTTCTGAGTACTTGTAATCTGTTGTCTGATCATAACAAAATTGTCTCCATTGAATGTCCCATTTTAAAGATGAATCTGTAACTAGATTTGTAATCTTGGGCAGTTGTGATATTGACTTCTATAAACTATATTTTTGAGTATACTGTCGAGGTATTATAATTCATTTATTCATTTTATTTCCCCATTCAAACTATTTTAGTGCTAGCTATCTACGAGGCAGTTTTAGGTGCTAAAAGTATGGTGGTTTACCAAAGTTTCCTTCCTCAGAAAGCTTACAGTCTGTTAATTGAAATTCTTGTAAATAAGTAACAAATGTAAAAATCTACAAAGATTCTAAGTAGGTACAGTCAGAAGCTACAGGGAATTTGAGAAGGCAATATTTTAGGTCAAGAAGAATTTGAAATGGCTTGCTTTGTGGATGGTGTTGGATTTGACTTCATCATTGAGAGGGATTTAAGAGTGGACCATTTAGGGACAATGGTGGCAAATACTCAAGGCAGAAGAAAAAAGAGAATGATCCCAAAACTTGGTGCATAGGCAGTGAGTCAAGTGTGGCTTAACCCAAGTGAAATGGAGAGTCTAAAGGGGACGAAGACTGGGAAAGTAAGTGGGGGCTGGATTGTGGAGACTTTGGAGACCTAAGATGTCTTCAGTACTGGGGGGAGGGAGAGTGGAGCCACCAAAGGTTTGGATCATGATGGTCTCAGTGGTCATATGTGATCTGGATTAGAGCGAGGTGAACCGAAGGTAGAGGGAAGTTAGGGTTCCTTTTGAGATATAAGGAGGCATAAAGAAGGATAGTGTCCATGATACCTTCTAATGCAGAGATACTGCATATATACTGTTCTGTAATATAACATGAGACCCTAAATCCAAGTTCTCCCAGGCAGTCTTCCTTCATGTCAGCCCTCTTGGTCTCTGTGTTATCCACATCTGCCTGTAGAGTCATGCTCTTGTAAAAAATAGGAAATCAGGTGTCCACTGCTGGCTTGTTCAAGAGGTAGCAGCTTGCTAGCTTCAGGAATTGTTTGACCCTGACCATCCCACAACTCTATGTTGGTTGTGACATCAGAGTCTTCTTAAGGGACATGCCCTGGAAACCATCACCTGCCTAGATGCATAGCCCATGCCTCCCTTGCAACCCCAACATGGTAATGTTCTCCATCCCGTTACTGATCTCCTGGTTGCTCCTCAAACACCCCAGGCCTCTTTGCAACCCCAGGGCCTTTGTACATGCTGTTGCCTAGAACATCTTTCCCATCAATTTCACAGGTTAATGCCTTGTCTCTTTCTGGCCTTAGCTTAAATGTCACCCCCTCAAGAACCCTTACCGTTACTCTTTATCTAAGCCCTTTGTTTCTTTCCTACCTAGGACTTCAACTTCCTACTGTTTTATTTGCATGTTACTTTTTTTTTTTTTTTTTTTGCCTCTTTCCCTGCTAAAACGTAATATATACCGTGTCTCTTTTCTGGATTAGTGTGTCTCTAGCACCAAGAACTATGTCTGGCACTCCATAGGAGATCACTAATATGTAACTGTTGAATTAATGAGTGAATGAATTAATGAATTAGTGAATTAATGAACATACCTGTTGAGAAAGCCCTTTATAACCTAAAACTATCCTCCTTTATTCCTGAATAATTATAAACAGAGTGGCAACAAATGGCCACTTTTCTTCCATAATCTGCCCAGTGACATAGTCTATAAAAAATGTTCATAGGATTCTCATAGTGATATTTGGGAGACAGAATATAAGTATTCTGCTTAAATTCCTGAATTTTCCTTAAAAATTCTGGTACCACACCATATTGCAGTGTTTTTCAGCCTTTTAAAAAATGAAATAGGGGCACCTGGGTGGCTCAGTGGGTTAAGCTTCTGCCTTCGGCTCGGGTCATGATCTCAGGGTCCTGGGATGGAGCCCCACATCGGGCTCTCTGCTCAGCAGGGAGCCTGCTTCCCCCTCTCTCTCTGCCTGCCTCTCTGCCTACTTGTGATCTCCGTCTGTCAAATAAATAAATAAAATTTTTTTAAAAATTGAAATAGAGATTAGAAAACATCAGGGGGCATTGCATCTGCTAAGTATAGTTTCGAAAATTTTTTCAGTCTGTGTGTCTGCAAGGAGGTTCCAGTGTGAAATTATTTTTTACCATGACTCAAAGTCAATACACACTGGGTATTTTCCATGTTATCCTAATCCCTTTATCTGGCTGCTGTCGAGCTCCTCAAAGCCAGTGCTGAATTGTCATTCTGCAGTGTTATGATTCCTTATGGCTTGTTTGCAGTGGAAGCCTTCCCACAAACGAACACCAAAATTCAATTTTTTAAGTATTTTCTTAGAGATCAACATACCTTAACCTCTCTCAGAATGCTAGGTTTGCAGTAAAGAATGTTCCCACAGCTGCAGGGCTAGGCCACTTTTAAGGAAACCAGGAGAAAAACAAACAAACAAAAAACAAATATTCAGGATAGGACAGTGGTAAGATTTGCTGTTCTTTCAATCAAGAATTTGAGGGGCGCCTGGGTGGCTCAGTGGGTTACACATCTGCCGTCAGCTCAAGTCATGATCTCAGGGTCCTGAGATGGAGTAAGTTCCAGCTCCCTGCTCAGCGGGGAGTCTGCTTTTCCCTATCCCTCTGCCGCTCCCTCCCTGCCGCTCCCGCCCCGCACTTGCTCTCTCATGCTCACTCTCAAGTAAATAAGTATTTTTTTTAAAAAGTCCAGAATTTGAAGCAATGATTTGACACACAATAGCAGTATTTGTTAAAATAACATTTATGTTAACTATTTTTTTTTTCCTCTCCTCTCTCTCTCTCTCAGCTGCCTGCCTTGTGCTGGGCTGCATGATTTTCCCCGATGGCTGGGATTCAGATGAAGTAAAACGGATGTGTGGAGAAAAGACAGACAAGTACACTCTGGGGGCTTGTTCAGTCCGCTGGGCGTACATCCTGGCTATTATTGGGATTTTGGATGCCCTGATCCTTTCGTTTCTGGCGTTTGTGCTTGGTAACCGACAAGACAGCTTGATGGCCGAGGAACTGAAGGCAGAAAACAAAGGTAAGATTGCTTTGGGGAACTCTTATCTCGATGCCTTGAGCACGTCAAGTCCCAGTGCTTCCCTCGTGGGTCTAATTTGCTTCATCTTCCAATGCTGTCTGGTTCATAGATGTTCCCTTAGACTCAACTCAAGAAATTTTACACAGTTGAAATACAGTTTGTATTGAAATACAGTTTATACACTTTACCTTTCTAAGGCTCTCAGAGTCCATTATTATTTAAATGTATTTTTCCATTTCCAGTTTCTTTTTCCCTCCCTAAGTTAATGGCTATGATGTAGCTTTTTTTTTTTTGTCTGCTTGATTAAAAAGTGAGAACATCCTCTCCATGTATTTCTCCCATTTTCCAGATTGAAATAAAATCCTGGGGAATCTCACAAAACCATCTAGAAACATCTTTATTAAGCTCTTCACAATCATTTTATTTGAATTCAGACTCCTCTCAGAGAGAAGGCAAGTTTTGGCCCTAAATACTTAGGGGTTTCAACAGTTGCCTAATTAACTGAATTAGAACGTGTTATCTGGACGGTGAAAAGTTCTGTTTCTTTTCAAAAAGAAAATGGCTTCTGAAACACAAAGTAGAATATAAAACAGGACAATGACCAGTAAATGATATGTAAATATTACAGTGTGCGTTAAAAGTAGCAAGTCCTTAGTAAAGGTTCCTCTCCATTTTCTTTCCAGACTTTTAAACCAAGTGTTTGGGGATAGTTTGGGAATAGAATTTTACCATCTCTGTCTGTTGCAAACTTAGATTTATTTCACTGTTTTGTCTTGGTTATTTTTAACTTTAATACTTTGGACTTACATCAGCGCCTTCAATTGAGTGACTGCTGCCTCTAGTTTTTATTTCTGATTGCAAACTAAAACTATCTTCGAATTCCAAAATTTAGCTTACTATTTCAAGTAGTTGCTAACTCCAAAAACTCTTCACTGCTTCAACAAGCCTCAAATAGAAGTATGTATTAGTGTCTACAGGAATGTCACATGTAATGATAGGGTAACAAGCTTTATATTTAGACCATCGCTGTTGATGCTTGTAAACTATGAACTATAAAGAGAGAAAATCAAGAGGTCTGGGAAAGCACAGTCATCCTTGAGCTCTTTATCTCCCTAATTTATGGACAGAAGACATACTAGTTTACTTGGTTTCATCAAAAATATTCTAAACATGGGGCAGCTGGGTGATTCGGTTGGTTGAACGTCTGACTCTCGGTTTCGGCTCAGTTCATGGTCTCAGGGTCATAGGATCGAGCCCCGTGTCAGGCTCCTTGCTCAGCATGGTGTCTGTACCTCCCCCTCTGTTCCTACCCACGTGCATACACACGCTCTCTCCTTCCCTCTAAATAAATTGTAAAAATTAAAAAAATATTCTAAACATAAAAATCTTTCACAAGGGTGTATTGCTTTCTAAAAACAGAATTACTTCCCTCTCATGGTTGTACTTTCTAGATTAAAAAAAAAGAGAGACGATATAAAGATAATCACTATGCTTTTAAAATCCTGTTCCAGATTTAAAGTATTTTCACCTGCGCTCATTCATTTGGAACCCTAGTCCGGTCTTTGTAATCTGGTGGGTGTACACAGGTCTCTGTCTAGTTAGCTTCACTTCAAAGTTAATAAGAATAGCTCAATATTAGAATAAATTGCTTTTCCCTACAGAATGAATTCAAGAACACACCACTCAGTTCTGCAGATGTTGATTTCTACCACCACCTAGTAATAAACCGAAGTGCTATTTATTCACTGTACAATTTAAAATTATCCTGAGAACATTTAACTTTCCAGACCTCTTTTGACCCCCAAAAAAGGAAGTTAAGAAAATGTTTTAAACATAACAAAACCAGGAAGATCTTTTAATTGGCAATTGAGAATTCTAACTTCTGTCCACGTATATGAGTGACAATTCTGAATGCATGCTTCAGAAAGAAATGGCTAGGATTAGAGGCCAGCCCTCAACAGTTCTCAAAGTGGGTCTCTTCTTTCGCTGGATTCAGTTACATGTGGGTGTCTGATCTCTTCAGTTGAGGTTTTCATTTTTAAAAAGCATTTTCCACTCCAACACCTTGGTAAAAGTGTGGATGGAAAAGGAAGTGAAAAGAAACCAGTACAGGGGCGCCTGGGTGGTTCAGTCTGTTAAGCGTTCAACTCTTGCTTTTGGCTCAGGTCATGATCTTAGGGTCATGGGATTAAGCCCCACATCAGACCCTGTGCTCAGCAAGGAGTTTGCTTGTCCCTCTCCCTCTGCTTCTCTCTCTCCCTCTCTCTCTCTCTCTCAAATAAAAAATTTTTTGAGAGAGGCCAGTATAAGGTCTGGGGACTATCTCTGCATGACTTTTCCGTGTTTATCATCTTCGTCTGTTTGTATCACACTTGCGTGAGTCCCTAGTTTCTTCCATCTGGTTCTGAAGGACCCGAATAAGTAGTGGTTCATCTTTATCAAATGGGACCCAGTAAAGTAACAGAGAGCATCAGGACATGCCGAGGAACATCTCAGTTGTACCGCATTCTTTTTCCACAATCAAATTCTTTCCTCTGAATTCTGAGAACATATCGGCAGCTCTATTGTGTAGAAATTTCAGATCCTCCTCCGATAGGGTCTATATAAGATCAGACTCAAAAGTGTAATCAAACCTACATGTTCCTGAGGAATGGTACAAGACTCGTCATAGCTCTACCAAATAGCCTTTAGGGTTTGGTATTATTTAAACACTTGGTTCAGTGTTGAAACCACCACAGTTGGATTGTTCAGGAAAGCACCAGTCAATGATTGTGTATGTTTGTATATGAACAATTTTTTTCAAAAAAAAATTTTTTTAAAGATTTTATTTATTTATTTGACAGACAGAAATCACAAGTAGACAGAGAGGCAGACAGAGAGAGAGAGGAGGAAGCAGGCTTCCTGCTGAGCAGAGAGCCCAATGCGGGGCTCGATCCCAGGACCCTGAGATCATGACCTGAGCTGAAGGCAGAGGCTTTAACCCACTAAGCCACCCAGGCGCCCCTCAAAAAATTTTTTTAAGATTTTATTTATTTATTTGACAGAGATCACAAATAGACAGAGAGGCAGGCAGAGAGAGAGAGAAGAGGAAGCAGGCTTCCCGCCGAGCAGAGAGCTCAATGCGGGGCTCGATCCCAAGACCCTGGGATCATGACCTGAGCCAAAGGCAGAGGCTTTAAGCTACTGAGCCACCCAAGCGCCCCTGTGTATGAACAATTTTACTAAACAGTAGTTCAGTTGCTTTCAAGTGCGTGCACTAACCAAAACTACCTTCGCTGTTACTCTCTATAAATCCTAAGGGGGGAGATCTGATAAGTGGAGAAAATTTGTAAATATGAAGTCGATTATATGTAAATTGGTACTTTTACAATTTGTATGGCTACATCCATACCCCTTTTCACTAATTAAAACTTTTTTTTCACTATTCTTTTTCTATCCCTTGGTAGCGAAGGCCTCCTTTGGATTTTAGAGCAATGCAATGAGATAGAGGCCACTCTAGCTCACAGAATTTTAGCGAAATTTACTAATGCCATGATGCTTGTGGTATCCTAGAAGCAGACAATACTGTATCTCCAATCTTGGCTCAAAAGAGTAAAACATTTCTGTGTTCTGATATACATTGTATTACTATACACACTTTAATACCTTTTACAATCAATCTTCTAGTTTTATGGTCTGCCAATCATCCTAACAACCTACATCCTATAATAAATAGCAGGGGCATTATGGAGAGACTAAACCTACGAGTGGAGCATATGCCTCCCATTCCAAGAAGTTTGTCCCGAGGAATCTCATGATAGGATTTTATCATCTTTTTGTGACATTTATAATTAATCTAACAATACACTTCTCTGTATCTGGAAAAGCCACCAAATGCGTTCAGGTGTGCCATGTGTCACTACAGTAAGGATACTGCTTACGTCCATGAGTCCTGCCTAACACCCTCCCCAATGGATAAAACAAGAATCACTGTTACATAAATCCTAGACTATACTGAAACAGGAAAGGGAACTCCATTCTAATTGTTGAACTGTAGTCCACTCACAGATTCCTTAAGGGAATATAGGATGCTACTGAACCATTAATTAATGATCACAAAGGTATGATTCAAAGGGAACACAAGGGGTAGGTGCACAGGTGAGCTCTCTACCTGGACAGACCACCACCTGTTGTGATAAATTTCCCGGAAACTCTCTCCAATCCCATGAGAACTTCTCCCTTCAATACCACCTGCAACATTTCTTAAGCATTTCCCAGGAGTGCAACAATAATTGAAAGTGGTCTCTGCTGAAATTTGTCACAAATTATAAAATGGCAAAATTGGAATAAGGGAGTTTGGACAGAATTTCAACCAATGGAAGGCACCAACTTTGAAGATGCAAGGGTTGTCTTAGAACTTCTGTGAGATATTAAGTTAATCATCTATGTTGCATTATCAAAGTCCCACAATATTCTGTCACGGGGAAAAAAAAGGCAACAAAAACTCCACTGTAAAACAAAGAGAAGTGAAAACTATTTAAATATCCAACTAACTTATACAGGAGTTATCAGGTGTGAGAAAATTCGACTGTGCATGTGGGAAGCCAGCCCTGCAGGCTGTGTGCCGTCCCTGGCTCTGGGGATAAGAGCAGGTAGGCAGGTGTTCATTCTTGTTTGGGAGCTCAGCAGCATGGTTTCTCAATGAGCCAACAACAGGAGGCATTTCACCTTGATATGCTGCTTAATTGCATATTTTAACACACTGAACTGTGAAGTCAATTTAATTATGTAAAATTAAAGTTTCATCCAGATAAAAAGGATTTGAAATGAAAGCTTCATTTTCCATTTCTTTCATTAATTGTGAGAGGATAAATAATTACATTTTCCAGAACTCCTGTGCCACAAATATCTCTTTTCCTTGTCAGACACCGTTCATAAAGAGGTATGTTTCTGCATTTGTGTATATGGTCTTTGGAATTGCTTATCAGATAATTGGGTCCTCTCATGAGCAGTTTTAAAGT